ACCAAATGCTTGTATTCTTGTTATATTAATGTACATTCTTTTCTACTGAATTTTATTCTTTCAATGAAAGCAGATTCACAGTGGAGCACTTCATGTTGAAGTGCAGAACCATCTCCAGAATAATATATATATTATAACCATAAGAGCTTCAAAAGAGTTTTTGGAAAGACAGACACCAACAGGGTATACAGTTTCCTTTCAGAAATCGGTATTCATAACAAAATTAAAAAAAAAATTCTTTTTTATAACTTAACTCAACGCCACGATTAACCTCTGCTAAAGTACTTGCAAGAGCCTCTAAGGCCGGAATATCAGAATATCTATCTATATGTCTGTTACGGTCCAAGTTCCTTGTACCACGGTGATGGCCCAAGGTTAGAACCAATGAAAGAATAACACAAACACAGGTATGGAATACAAAGATATATTACAACAGAAATATAATACAAAGAAGTAGAAATATTAGTAATGACTATCAGATTTGATTAGAGTGAACTATGTTGTCTCGACAAGTATCACTATTCCAATGTCCTTACAATATGCTCTCAATTATCTCCCCTCGTCTTACAACATCCTCATACCTCTTGAGAGGCGCAGTATTTATAATGTCAGGAATAGTCCATTATTATTATGGGTATGTTCCCATAACAATGTCAAAGTGTGATTATCAAGCTATCTATCTGATTGTCAAGGTGTAAATATCAACATATATATCTTTATATCGAAGTATAAACGACAAGCTATTTATCTAGTTATCAGGGCACGGATATCTATTATTGGCATTAAATAACCCAACGAGGCTGATATACCGTAAAACACAAACAAACAAATCAATGAAAATCGTTTGTTTATTCTAAACGGCCGAATTACGCGCAGACCCGCAACAATATTTAATGTTATTGTATTGAATCCCAACACTCTGAATTTTGACATTCCAAACTCTTATTGTTCAAACTTCTTTAGACATTTTTTTTAATCTTGAAAGAAACTTCAATAACTGCAAATAAATGTATTTTAAAAATATCTCTACTTTCACAAACACTTCATGAAACTAAATGTAAACAGTGAATACAACAAGGTTGATACAACGGGTCACAGGTGGTCGAGTGAGGATCTAATTAAAATTCGATATGGACATCAGATTTTGCTACCAGCTTCTCGAACCGCCCAGGAATCGCGCCAACTGGTTTCAATATGAACTCTTGTGATATGGAAGACATAACTTCTTGTGTTCGTCCTTAAGATTCTCCCAAAGTCTTTGTGTGGTATAGTAGAATTAAGTCAGGGCTCATGTCAGGTCACTTATACATAAAATAGGGAGTTATTTTTCAAACACACTGTATATTTCATACTATAAATAACCGGGAAAATTTCACGGTTTTCTTGAGATTTTATATGAATCTTAATTCTTCAGTTAATGATTGAATAAGCTCATGGCAAGTTTTATGACGACAATATAAAATACCCATAAAATTTCCCCTGCATCTTTAAATATTTGAGCTTAACAACTTTAACAAAATATTGCAATATCAAACAAAAATATGAATGCTGGTCGTTATTTTAAGAAATAAGGGGGTACAAATGAAAAGTTTTCAAATTGACAACATTTTCTATTTCACTGAAACAGACGTTAAACACTTCTCTCTTTCCTTCTTTTTTTCTTTATTTCATTTGCTCACTGAAACCAAGTAGCATCTCTGATATTTCTTCTCTGTCTTTCCACGTAATCAAAACGGAATCGAACATTATTTCTAAAGTATTGGCAGGACGTAACGGCCGTAACAACTAATTAAGGGAGAAGTAGAATTATATTAAGATATTTGAAGAATTTTTTTTTTATTTTACAAATTAAAATTGTCTTGAAATTATTACAAGACGTGAGAGATCAAGGCCCTCTTCAATTTACTTTCTTTTATTGCATTAACAAATCTTTTGACTCTTTTAGCAAACTTTGTCACATGCCTGCCATCTATTCACACAATCTCATTAAGTATATGATCATGGCTCTCATCAATGTCCTTGTTGCTGTTAGTAATTTTTGTCCCTTTACGGTATGTCTTTTTCCGTCTTTGTTCGTCTTTTTCCGTCTTTGTTCGTCTTTTTCCGTCTTTGTTCGTCTTTTTCTGTCTTTGTCCGTCCATTCACACGAACTCATCAAGTATGCCTTGCATTCACTATGTCCTGTGAGTGTTCAGTTTTCTCGGACCTTTTTCTGTGTTGCAGACTTTTCCACTTAACTCTTTGATTGAAAGTATTAGTTCCAGTTTGCTTTCAAACTTCCTTATTGATTGCATGCACCGTACATGTTATTCTCGGTATGCGTCGATACTACCGTATCTCTGTCGTTTTTCAAGTCTGTCTTTGTTTTTTCAAGAATTTGTTGTCTATTTACAAGAATTTTGGAAAATTTCCTTTCTTTTCATGTTTTTTTTTTCGTTTCATTCTATTCAAAATTGACTTCCTTCCTTATGTTGTCTTTCTCCTTCCATTCATTTTCTTCTATCAAGACATTCCTTTCCCTCTATTCAACGAGGTTTTCATTCTTTTCTAGACCATTCTTACGTTCTACATAAGACATTTTCTTCCATTATAATTTGCTTCCTTTTTTTCTACAAGTTTTTATATTTTCTGCATATATTCCTTCTTAAACTTTATTTTTCCCTTCGTACATTATTTCGTTCTTTCTTAATAAGACTTCGATTCTTTCTACGTTTCGTTTCGTTTCTTTCTACAAACACTTCGTTTCTTTCTTTCTTTCTTTCTTTCATTCTTTCTTTCTTTCTCTCTTTCTAGTATTTTGATTCTTCCTTTCTTTTCTTTCTTTTTAGGATTTCGATTCTTCCTTCTTTTCTTTCTTTCTTTCTTTTTTTTAGGATTCATTCTTCCTCGTTTTTTTCTTTCTTTCATTTTGGACTTTAAACTTTTTTTGAATCTTTTTTTTTTTCTTCCTTTCTTTATAGGACTTTTTTTCTTTTTCATGTTTTTCTTTCTTTTTTAGTAGGACTTCAATTCTTTCTTCGTATCCTTTTTTCTTTCTTTCTATTAGGACTTCAATTCTCCTTCGTTTCTTTCTTTCTTTCTTTCTTTCTTTCTTACTAGGACATCGATTCTATCTTCGTTTCTTTCTTTCTTTCTTTCTTTCTTTCTTTCTTTCTTTCTTTCTTTCTTTCTTTCTAGGATTTCGATTCTTTATTCCTTTCTTTCTTTTTTCTTTCTTATTTTTTCTTTCTTTCTTTCTTATTGGGACTTCGATTTTTCCTTTGTATTTTCTTTATTCCTTCCTTCCTTCCTTCCTTCCTTCCTTCCTTCCTTCCTGTCTTTCTTCCTTCCTTCCTTTCTTTCTTCCAAGTTTTTTTAATATTTTCATCATAGACCTCTTCATTGTGTTCTTGTTTCTTTCTTCTCAGTCTTTAATTTTCTATGCATGATCGTTCTTTAAATTTATTTGTTTCTTTCTTTTTAGAACTTCCTTATTTCTTTCGTATCTTTCTTTCTTTCTTTCTTTTATCCAAGTCTTTTGTACTTTCTGTATTTTTTTTTCTAATTTTTGATTTGTTTCTTTCTTAGTTTTTTTTTTCGTTATATCGTTATATCTGCTTTAATTCTTTTTTACAATTTGCATTCTTCCTTCATAGATTATCTCCCTTTTGCTATCATTCTTTATCTTATCTTTTTCTTCTGCATACGTTCCTTTCTTTCTTTATTTATCCGTCATACTTTCTTTTCAGTTAAATATAAATACCAGTCATCATTCTCATCACCGTCGACCCTAACCCCAACCAAATGCAGATTGTGTGTCTTTCTGCAAATATTATTATGGCGTACAACTATAAAAACAAGAAAGCGTAGTCTTTTAAAATAAGTAATGGCGGACCCAACATCGATAAACAAATCTTTGAAAAAATTCTTCTAATATAAAGATCTGGAAATCAAAGAAGATGGCCTGTAAACGTCCGCCTTCCGGCTTTAATGGCAAGGTTTGGATCTATTAACGAAAGTCTTTGAGTAAAAACGGAGAAGAAATTTTGGGTAAGTTTCTTGCAGGATTTTTGCTGAAAATAGTGTCATTGGGAATGCTTAGTGGAAAACCAAAAACAGTGAAATATTACTGTAGAAATTAAACTACCATGAATCTGGAGAAATGAAGTTGGGCTTATTAAAGATGGGAGAAAGGAGGAAAAGTTTTGGAATAATACATGGAAATTATGAGAACAAAATGAATGTCAGAAGAAATCAAGGAAGGAAAAAGAAGATTGAAAAGTAAGAAGTCGGTAAGAAGAAAGAAAAAAAGGAAATGCGAATTTAATAAAATAAGAAAGGAAAAAAAAAGAAAGAGACGAAGAGAAGAAATGAAAATTAAAAATAAAAGTAAAATAACAAAAAATACGTAGGAAAAGAAAAAAAGAAAAAAAAACATTTTGGAAGAAAAAAAGGAAAAATAGAGTAACAAAAGAAAGAAAACAAGAACGAAAAAAGAAAAGAAGAAAATATTTAAAGAAAATCAAGAAAAAAAAGGAATATAAAATAACAAAAGAAAGAAAGTCTTGAAAGAAAGAAAAGAAAAGAAAGAAAAGAAAAGAAAAGGAAGAAAGAAAGAAAATGCAAAAGTTTCAGAATCAGTAAAAATACAAATAAAATAAAAATCACCGGATAGCAAGTCAACAGGAAAGAATGTATTGGTTAAAAAAAGAAAAAAAAGAGTTTGATGAAAGAAAGAAAGAAGCCCGTAAAGAAAAGCGTAGCAGAAATTCCTTTCCTGTATTTAAAAAGCCGTCTGAAACTGCCGTGTATGTTGTGTCTAAGTTAATCTCCTATTTAAGTGGGATCCACTGATTCTGATCGGACAAAAAAATCTATAATTTCTCGTAAATCGCCTCTGCAAATCAATAAGCCTCGTCAGGAATTGTCCAGAATTGCCAGTGAAATTAGAAGAGAATTTTTCAAGAATAAATAATAATCTGAATGAAGAGAGAGAATTATCTTTTCCAAAGAAAACAAGAATGTGCACCTCACCTTGGAATTCGATCTTCACTGGAGACACAATACTTGTATCTTTATCTATATCTATTTCTTTCTTTCTTTCTTTCTTTCTTTCTTTCTTTCTTTCTTTCTTGGACTTAGATTCTATCTTCGTTTCTTTCTTTCTTTCTTTCTAGGACTCAGATTCTATCTTTCTTTCTTTCTTTTTTTTTCTTTTTTCTTTCTTTTTATTTCTTTTTTCTAGGACTTTTTTCTATCTTCGTTTCTTTTTTCTTTCTTTCTTTCTTTCTAGGACTTAGATTCTATCTTCGTTTCTTTCTTTCTTTTCTTTTCTTCTTTCTCAGATTCTATCTTTCTTTCTTTCTTTCTTTCTTTCTTTCTTTCTAGGACTTAGATTCTATCTTCGTTTCTTTCTTTCTTTCTTTCTTTCTTTCTAGGACTCAGATTCTATCTTTCTTTCTTTCTTTCTTTCTTTCTTTCTTTCTTTTTTTCTTTCTAGGACTCAGATTCTATCTTCGTTTCCTTCTTTCTTTTTCTTTCTTTCTTTCTTTCTTTCTAGGACTCAGATTCTATCTTCGTTTCTTTCTTTCTTTCTTTCTATGAGTTCTATTCTTTATTCATTTCTTTCTTTCTTTCCCTCTTTCTTTCTTTCTTTCTTTCTTTCTTTCTTTCTTTCTTTCTTTCTTTCTTTCTTTCTAGGAAATATATATATAGACGTGATACATGTATCTTTCTCTATATCTCTTTCATTTCTTGCCTAAGTCTGAGCAGAATTTCCATGGCAAATACATCGAATCTTTCTTCATGTTTTTCGTTTTTTTCTTTCTTCGTATGACTTAAATTCTTCTTTTGTATCCTCTTTTTCTTTCTTTCTTTCTTTCTTTCTTTCTAGGAAATATATATATAAACTCAATACATGTATCTTTGTCTCGACCTATTTCTTTTCTGAGCAGAATTTACGATGCAAATACTTCCATTGTTCCTTCATGTTTTTCTTTCTTAGTAGGACTGCAATTCTTCCTTCGTTACCTTTTTTTTTCTTTCTTTCTACTAGGAATCCGATTCACCTTCCTTTCTTTCTTTCTTTCTTTCTTTCTTTCTTTCTTTCTTTCTTTCTAGAACTTCGATTCTTTATTCATTTTTTCTTTCTTTCTAGGAAATATATATATATATATAGACCTGATACATGTACTTTTGTCTATACCTATTTCTTTTCTTGCATAAGTCTGAGCAGAATTTCCAAGGCAAATATCTGTCCCATATTTAAATAATTATATAAACCGTACAAAAGTTAATACGTAAACTATATCCAGTATTTCCCAATACATAATCTTTGTATAACACGCACCTATAATTTGGAAAGGAATATTGAAGTAAACAAAACAGTAACTGTAAAACTTGTGTTTGTTTCTTTGATATCTCAACATTATTTTGGTTTGTAATCATTATGCAACGAGTTACAATAACATTTCTCTGTGTATAACACGCACCTGGCGTACGGCCATTTCGCATTAAAACAACGGTTCTCGCACGATCGTCAAAGTTAAGCAACGTTGAGCATGGTCGCTTAGAAACACCAAGTGCTGTAAGCTTGTATATGCAAATGATGTAACAGATAACGGCTCGGAAATTGGAAATCGAACAGCCGAGTTCGAATTCCAGGGTGGTTCGTAATATTCACTCACGCGCAAATACCCTTAAGAAAGATATGAATCCATCTCTTCTTCCTCCAGCTATGGGTAAATTATAGAACGTGTATCAGGAAATTATTATTATTATCCGCTCCCTCACAAAAAAAAAAAATCTTAAAATATTTTTCTGTTTCTAAGTAAACTGCAAAAGATTAAGAAACCATAAAACAAATCAATCAATAACACGCACCTATAATTTGCCAAGTTGCTTTGGTTGGGTTGGTTTGGCTTGGTTTGTTTCTTTCACGAATTATCAACACCTCAATGGGTTATTTAATACTGACAAGATTTTTACAAACGTATTCTTTCTAAGATGTCTATTTGTAAATCAGGTTTCATTGACGTATTTTTTAAAGAAAGTTTTATGAATATGTAAAAAGGTTTTTATGAATAGAATATGTATTCTCTCTATGTGTGTTTTTGTCCAGTGTCTGGTTTCATTCATCTATTTTTTTTCACATATAAAGTGTATAGAGAAATTCATTTTATCGACATTCTTATTTAGTTTATATCATTTTGTAGAAGCCCAAACTTTTAAGAAATGATATTATATGATCCACTTTTGATTTCTCCAAGATCTTATACATGTTTATAGCTGTTTTGCTACGCTTCGGTGTAAGCCCATTTGGGGTGGTTGATTCGGCGTCCTAAAAATAATTGGACTATTAAGCTCAACCGTTTAGGCATCCCACTGTTTAAACGGCACTCTCTTTGACTGGCTCATCCAAAATAGGATAAAGGGATTGAAAACACCCAACTTATAATATGACTTTTTATTCATTTAGGGAATTAACGATTCTATTAAAACATTAATGGAATAATGTAAATTAAAAGCTTAAATTAAAAATATTGTGTCTATATTTCTGAGATGAGGTATTGTCCTCATCTTTGTCACCATATTTATTACAACGTTTCGGCCGTTGTACGCTGAAGAATGCTGGAGCGTACAACGGCTCAAACGTTGTAATAAATATGGCGACAAAAATGAGGACAATAGACCAAATGATGTAAATAATGTAAAAATATTGTATTTCAAAAAAGAAAAAAAATAATTATAAAACTTAGTAAAGCTATTTAATCTTAGAAATTACTTCTTCATTTCGCAATTATGAGCAACAAGCTTCATGAACTCAATAGGATCTAATTATTCTTCCACGTTTCGATAAAATATTTGCTTCCATTTTGGAATAATAGGGGTTTGAAAAATATGAAGCTGCACTGAAAGAAATATGATATAAAAATACCTCCAACCACTGCTTTTCTTAAATATTAAAATGCCTCCAAATACTTTTTTTCTTAAAGTGGAGCATATAACGGCGAAGTAGTAATTTGACTACTTAGAGAGAGAGAGAGAGAGAGAGAGAGAGAGAGAGAGAGAGAGAGAGCGGCAGGTATTAATCTGATGCCACATCGTCCTCGTACCGAAAAATTCCAATGCCGAATCGACTACGCCGAATCGGCCACGCCCAATGAGCGATGCCAAATAGACGACGCTGGAGCGTCTCACATCCGTTTGTATTAAATCATTTTTGTCTTGAGAGAGCAAGGGCTGAACACTTGGTTAGTATATTATTTACATTATTCGAACTATTGTCCTCATCTTTGTCGCCATATTTATCACAATGTTTCGGCCGTTGTACGCTCTCGCCTTCTTCAGGTGTTTGGAATGCCGAACTGAACCCTTTATTTCGCTCGCTCGGGTAGATTGTTCTAGCTCCACGTGCCATATCTAATGGATGTCAGTTATCAGTTACCTCCTGTTAATTCCCCTCTCCAAGTTCTCCACCGCCTTAACCAGGTATTGAACTCACAGTCCTCGGGTAGACAGATACTGTTTAATATATGTTTAATAGTCTATGCCGTTTCACCTGCCTGGCATACTGGGTGATCTCCCTTGTTTAGCAAGTACAAGTGGGCATTGCTTGTGTGGACAATGCGTAAGCTGTCCGGGACTACTACTTCCTTTTGAGATATTCTAAAAGCCGACTTCGATTCTCTTACTTTGAGCTGAATGGCGTAGAGTTTATTGTGTAGTTTATCGTCTCAGCACCTTTGCCATTCCTTTTGAATATATTTGTTAATGTCCTCCTTAAATTCAGTGTATGGGATTTTGGTCATTGAATCTACATCCATATCTAAATCTGATTTGACTGCTAGGTTTGTTTTATTGTTACCTTCCACTTCAATGTAGCTAGGAATCCAACATAGTTTGATGTCTTTATCCTTGAAAGTAGGGCTGCTCATTTTACATAATATTTTGATAATGAGTGGGTTCTTGGAGGGTGTTTTTTCTTTCAAAGCCATTAAGACGGATAGTGAGTCCGAAAATATTCAACGGTAAGCTTTTTTCCTCTCTTCACAGTGGGAATAGTTTGGTCTGTTTTACGGCATATCGATCTCAATGGGTTATTTAATGCAGACAAGATTTTTACAATAGATTCGTATGAATAGCATTTTTGTCTTGAGAGAGCAAGGTCTGAATACTCGGTTAATATATGTTTAATAGTGTATGCCGTTTCACACGCTTGGCATACTGATTGATTTTCTTTGTTTAGCAAGTAAGTTATTCTCGTATGGCTAATACGTAAGCGGGCCACTACTACTAGTTTCTTTTAAGATTTTCTGAAAGCCGACTTCGATTCTCCTAGTTTGGGCTGAATTGCGAAGACTTTATCATGTTGTTTATCGTCCCAGCACCTTTGCCATTCCTTTTGGATATATTTGTTAATGTCCTCCTTAAATTCAGTGTATGGGATCTTGGTCTTTGTGTCTACATCCATATCCAAATCTGATTTGAAGCAATATTTAGGAAAAGCAGATAAAACTGCCTTCATACTGAATGTTTGTTTACATCTCTTCTATTTCAATGTTATTCTGATTTATAGCAGTTATTTAATCATTAATACGCATAAATGTTATATTTATCTGTGTATAACACGCATTTAGTGTCTATCAAAAAGAAACAAAAACTCTCATTATAACACTTGTATCTAATTGTCTTTTCTTTTTTTAAAATTATTTTCGTTTGTAATCTTTATTTAATCATATATATAATATTTTTCAATGGATAACGCGTACTTATATTTTGGCAAGGAATTATTAGATAAACTATCTGAAGTGCCAGAAAAGCTTCATTTATACAGGTTTGGTTTGTTTTGTTTTAAGGCCTATCAACCTCAGTGGGTTATTCAATACCGACAAGATTTTTATTGCTGGTAATATTTTTGTTCAAAAATGTATTTCTGGTAATATTCTTTTCTGGCAATAATGCATTGCTGGTAATAATTCTTTACAAAAACGAATTGCTGGTATTAACACCCATTTTTACACTTCAATAGTGTTTTGACCCCAGTTTGGTGGTTAACTATTTGCTCATAGCTGGGACCCTAACAGGTGCAACCACCTCGAGTCAGGGTGGGCCCGGAAACACCAGCAATTAAGAGGTGATTCCGTGCTCCTCAAAACCTTCTGATCAAAGGCCTTGCTGTCGGATGTAGTTTATCGTCTTACCCAGGACACTTGATTTATACAGAAAAAGATTATTTACACTATTTACATTTGGACGATTGTCTTCAACTTTGTTGTTATCACCATATTTTGGCCGTTGTGCTCTTCAACCCCCTTCAACAATTTGTCGATCTGGATAACATTCAGGGTATTTTGAATTGAACATTTTTTTTTTAATTGACGAGGTTAGATTGTTCCCTTTTAGCTATCCAAGTCTACGGCTAATATTCTCGTTCTTATTTGGCACTGACGGGATATCTCGAGACATGGAGAACATCTGAAGAAGCTTGGAGAACAAGACTACCGAAACTTTGGAATAATAACAGCAAAAAAAATGAAGACAATAACCTGAATGCAAAGAATGACAGCAACTCATTCTTGAAATTCAGATCTAAAAATGTTTGA